TTCATAGGACAACTGGGTTAGATCAGAAAGTTCTCGTCTAAACTTTCCAGCTGACTCTTTGTGCATGAATCTCCCTTGGGTCAAAAAGATATTGCCACCAGTGACCATTTTCTACTTAATAATGGTTTGTCACATGGGAGATCTGACTTAATATGTAATTAATAGAAGGGTCCTTGGAGTGATTGCCTCAGAACTGAAAGTTTGTTGCCTAATTTATCTGAAGACTCTCTGTGGATGCAAGCAAACTCTCCTGTCCCAGTTTGTACCTCCCATTAAGTTCCAGACTAGGGGAATGGTTTATGTGGTTACTGCAGTTGAACCTTCTTTGTCCGTCTCTATACCTTATCCATTTTCTAATTACACAGCCTAGAATACTGTTCCTTGTCTCTTTTGCCTGATAAACACATACTTGTTATTCAAGACTTCCGGTAAACCTCATCTCCTCCTTAAAGTCATCCCCGAACACTCCTACCTCCTACCGCCTAAGGAAGTAAGGGACCCCATGACTCTGCTCCCATAGCATCTTCTGTATGAGAATAGAGCATCATCCCTCTGTTTGATAATATATTTGTTCTCTCTACCTCTCCACCATAGAGTGAGCTCCTGTCTCATAGGCAGTTAATAATGTTCAACTCTGTCTCACCGACACCTAGCCCTGGGTCTGGACAAATAAAGAGGTTCAACATACATTTGATGAAATAATAATTGAATGAACACACGAAATAAATTAATGAACATATAAAGGAAGGAATCATTGCATTGTTATGTATATCAAATAATGTCCAATGCATATAAATGAACTCATTACATGTATTAATTAGTCAACTAATTATGTACATGAACGAATCAATCAAGTTTATCAACTTAAGACCATCAAATCAGTAAGTAATATATATCAATTAATAGATTACGTGCACATTTATTTCTTACTGAATAAATCAAGGAGAGAAAAAAAATAAGTGTATAAGATGCGTGTATAAACTCTCCCATCTAACTGAGGGGATTTTGTTTTCTTCCCTGGTATCGACTGGATGTTCATATCCCTTAAAAATTCACATTTTGAAACCTAATCCCCAATATGAGGGCATTTGGAGGGAGGCCTTTGAGAGCACCCTCATGAACGCTATTAATGCCCTTATAAATGAGACTCCAGAGAGCTCTCTTGCTCTAGGAGGTGAGATCTCATCAGACACTGAACCTGCCAGTGCTTTGATCTTGGACTTCTCAACCTCCAAGATGAAGAGAAATACATTTCTGTTGTTTCTGAGCCATCCAGTCTATGGTATTTTTGCTACAGTAGCTCAAATGGATGAAGACACAGTTTGCCTGTGTTCAACAAAATGAGTTTTATTAGAAATATAATTTACTCAACGTTAAGACAGGAAAATAAAGAAGAAAATAAGCAAGAAATTATCGGGAGGAAAAGTATTGATAAACCCAGTGCTGTACCTGATATATTTTTTATACGTTTTTCATGTAGTTATAATTATGTTTTACCATTTTATATGCCATCATTAGAATGGCCGTACTAGTCTCAGTGTAACAGGTGGTCCCAGTTTCACTTGTTGAAATCCACCAGCCAAAGACCATAACACATCTGAGTAGAGCAAAAAAAAGGTTATTTAGCTCACCACGGTAAGGGAGAGTTGTCTCCAGAGGAATTGTAGAAGTCTCAGCAGACAATTTTGGCAAAGGTCTATTAAAGGATGCGGGCTTCTTTGGGGTGATTCGAAGCAGGGCTTAAAGAAGAGGTAGGCCATTTCTGAATTGGATACGGTCAGAATTCAGTGGCAATTCAGGAATTGGCTACGTTGGCGATTCTTTCTAGGAGGTCAGGAAATCGAAACAACGCTGGATGTCAGAGGTAAATAACTAGTACAAAGAGGGTTGTTTAGTTACGTTCTGTGGTTGCTGAGTGTCCTTGCCTCTGTCGTCTCAGACTCCGTCACCGCCGTGTCGCCCTGATGGGTGTTGATGTTTCATGTATGCTGTTTATGATAGCCTAATTCTAACTGTTGGCTGGTAGGGGTGATTTTCACTTTCTGAAAATACTTATTGTTGGACACTTCGGTTTTCCACTTCTTCAATTCTGTGATGTGATATGCTGAGCAGCATTATATATATAGTATTTTTTTCTTTTTTTGAATAGGCTCCCAGAGATGTCTGTTAGCATCAGTTTGTGCTCGTTTTTCTTTTGATCTCTCTCTGTTACCATCATTCTCCTGCCAAATTCCCACCATTCCAGTTTGAACCAGCAACACTAATCGATGAGACTCTTCCTCCATCATTATTATGGATTGCATACTTTACACATGACTTAATAGGCAAAAATGGAAGATGATTTTTAACTTCCTTGAGTTCTATAAGATTGAATTTATTTTCCATGTGTCTTTATGAGTTGCATTTACTTTTTTCAAATTATCTGTTCATGTTCTTTGTCAATTAGTTGAGTCCTTATATTTTTTCTTTTCTTTTCTTTTCTTTCTTTCTTTTGTCTTCTCTTCTTTCTTTTATTTTCTTTCTGAGACAGAGAGAGAGAGAGAGAGAGAGAGAGAGAGAGAGGATGCTTGTATGGGGGAGGGGAAGAAGGAGAGGGAGAGAGAGTATCTTAAGCAGGCTCCACACCCAACATGGATCCTGACATGGGTCTCAATCTCATGACTGTGAGATCATGACCTAAGCTGAAATCAAGAGTGGGATGCTTAACCAACTGAGCCACCCAGGTGCCGCATAGACCTTACATTTCTTAAAAAAAAATTTTAAATGCTTGTTTATTTTTGAGAGAGAGAGAGAGAGGCAGACTGCAAGCAGGGAGAGGGGCAGAGATAAAAGAAGACACAGAATCAGAAGCAGGTTCCAGGCTCTGAGCTGCTAGCACAGAGCCCAACATGGGGCTTGAACTCACAAACCGCGAGATCATGACCTGAGCCGAAGCTGGACGCTCAACTGACTGACCCACCCAGGTGCCCCTAAACCTTACATTTCTTATTGAATCTATATTATATCTTCAAGTAGTAAGCTGAAAATAATTTTTGTAGTCTAGTCTAAAAACAATTTTTAGCATATCAAAAATTATATGTGATCCAATTGGTCAGTATTCTTCCTTTGTACTTGTTACCATGCCCTTCTTATTTTCATACATCATTCCATGCTTCCAAATTTGATTCTACTATCAAATTGAATTCTTCAATCTACCCATCATTATTTGGAAAAATGGGGAAACCTGCATTCCTAGAATATTATCTACTTAATTTCCCATCTTGCATCTTGTTATTTTCCTAAACAGAGTAGCATCTTTGGTCCACCTTTCATATGTGTTGAGACTAAAACTAAATATTTGATATTTTTAGAAACAGTGTATTCATAGACAAAATACTTGAATAGTTTCTTCAGGGCAAAAATTGCAGTTGTTGGGGCGCCTGGGTGGCGCAGTCGGTTAAGCGTCCGACTTCAGCCAGGTCACGATCTCGCGGTCCGTGAGTTCGAGCCCCGCGTTGGGCTCTGGGCTGATGGCTCAGAGCCTGGAGCCTGTTTCGGATTCTGTGTCTCCCTCTCTCTCTGCCCCTCCCCCATTCATGCTCTGTCTCTCTCTGTCCCAAAAATAAATAAACGTTGAAAAAAAATTTTTTTTAAAAAATTAAAAAAAAAATTGCAGTTGTTGGCAGAAATCACAACAATAGATACTGTGAATGAATGAATGAGTGAATGAACAAACGAGCACAGAAAAGGAAATTACTATCAATCTGCAACAAGAGGCCAAGGCAACATTTTTGAGTTGTATGCTTCTTTACAAAGTTAGTGAGTTTAAATTCCCCAAATAAGACAACGGTGTTTCACTTTAAGCTGCTAAACTTGTGGTCATTTGGTTTGCAGCAGTGAAGAATGTATTAGTGTGTGACTTTCCCAAATATTGTTCGTGGGAACACCATTTGAAAATCAAGAGAAAGACGCTTCCTGAAAGAAGAACGTACTTCAGCGATCCACGCATTCGACTTTTTGTTTTTGTCACCTTGGTTTCGGTTAACATGGCAAAATCCTAGACACCAAGTGTGCCTTCACAAATGCTTATTGAATCACATAATCCATGGGTAAAGAAAAAAAATTTAAATGTTGATATTTCAGCTCTTTGTCTCTCCCCAAGTGGACTTACAAAATTAACTGAATATAAATAGAAGAAAACCCCTCAAACGGCTTAGAGCATCTTCCCCTTTATCAGTTCTTTTGTGCTGACTTTTGTATCTGGTTGTAGCTTCAGGTAAAAAAAGGGAATGTACCCAAGGAAGCATATGTTTTAAATTGCTGTTCAGGTTTTATTTTAAATGTTTTAATAATTATTTTAAGTGTTGAGGCATTTCTGGTACATGTCACTTTAAATACTGAATCCTGATGTCCCTGCATATACATACCGAAACGTATGTGTATTTCATACATATAAATGTAATTTTATGCATGAAGCACGTATAGGTTTATATATATATTTAACATTTACCTTCAGAATATATTGTATAAGACACATATTTAATGTCTATGCCTTCAGAAGCATAAACATTTTATTTCCCCTGATTTTGAGGGCTGTGCCTCCCAGAAATCCTCCCTGTGAATACGATGCGTTTTATTCACTTACGACAATGTTGTGACATCAATCATGTCCTGCAGTAGGGGCTGCAGCCATTATGGTGCCCGGTACTTTCTCTGTAATTATTTTTCAAGTCATTTCCAGAGTACTTCATTAAATGTTTTTAATGCCGCTATGGGGAATCAGAAAATAAATGAATTCCATTTTCCAGGGCTTTTAAGAAATGTAGCTTTATTTTAGGTTGAAGTTAATTTTGTATTGCTACCTTTGTCAGAGGCATACAAGGTAGTACTTTTTATCTTTTGAAGATAAGGATTTCATTGTTGCAATCTAGGAAAAAATGCCTATACCAACCAGTGAAGTCTCTCTCTCTCTCTCTCTCTCTCTTTTTTTTTAATTTGGCATGGGAGGGACGAAAAGCAATGTTACCATTCCCTCTCCCATATGCTCCAACTTTTATGTCTGTTTTGCCATCTATTCCATTAACCTTATGATTAATGAAAGTCTCCAGAATTTTAAATACCTTGAAAGGGAGCCAACGCCTGGTCTTTGGAGGCTATGTTGAAAATAAACAACGATAAAAACGGGGAGATGCAGGCTTTTGAAGTCCTTAAAGACACGACCACTGTGATCTTGGTACCACGGTGCAGAAAAGAGGACAGCATTTCACATTTCTGGCATTACTAACGACAACACAGCCACTGAAAGCGAGCATGAATTTCTGGGAGTAGCATTAGGATACAGGGCTCCTGCTGAGCTCACCAGTTCCTTGCTCTGCACAGCTGCCTTCTCAGCTGGGGGTTTTTAAATCAGCACAGTGAGAAAAGATAGCAATGGCCATGATGCATCTTCCTCCCTGTGAGAAAAAGGTAATGTTCAATTAACGCTTCAGTCTTCTGCTTTCCAACGGATTTATTTCTGTCTTTTGTTTGTATGTTTTGTTTTGGATTTTTTTTTTTTTTTTTTTGGTGGCGGTGGTGGTGTTCCTTTTCATTCCGTGGGATAAAATGCTTAAACTAAACATATCTGTGCTTGCAGTTATGGGAGAAGGATTCTGAACTTCTTGTGGCTGTGCTGACATCAGTAAGAGTTGGAGAAAGTATACATTTAAGAAAACGTATACATTCCCACCCACAGGATATTAAGGTATGATTGCGCTCACTTAGCTATGCCTGCATGTAACAGTAAAACCATCACAATGGAAAGAGTTGAGCCTCTTTTAGAAGTATTTTCATAAATGCAACATTTGATTTGTTGAGAACACCTACATTACTTTACCTTCTGCCGTATTGTGGAATGGTGCACACCAGGGTGTTTGTTAACGGGAGTCTGCTTTAAGGCTGGTTGGGTTCCTAGCAGCAACTACAACAACAACAATAACAACAACAACAACAGCAACAACAAGGGGTTAATCACAATAAAGCAATGCTTTCAATTTCCAGCCACAAAGAGGTATATTCTCTTCCTTTATACTTGTTACAGGTTGTGTTTGCAATTGCATAGATAGAAAGTAACCAACACGATTTGGTAGAGTCTCACTCTCCACAGGGTTATTTTGTTCTATGTTCTTACAGACAAGCCCACAAGGGTTCTGAGCTGTGCTCTTCTTTTCTCTTTGAGAGCAATTTGTTTTTTAAGCCCACAGTGATTTGAAAAAAAACAAAAAACAAAAAAAAACAGAGCTATGTGACACGTGTACCTGTGCATGCGTGTGTGAGTGTGTGCTTAACGCTGCCTTGGGTCTTATGAATTTCCTCTCAGATTTATATTAGCCTTCTGGTTAGAAAGATCAACACTGTTGAGCTTGAATGATGTTCTTAAGAATAAAGTCCAGGCGTCAGATGCTCGTTGGAAACATGTCAACTTAGTTTTATTTTAAGGTTTGAACCCAAATATCGATTGCTACCACTTTAGTAATCACTCACTATAAAAGCTGCTCAGCAACTCATTTTATAAACATTTATTATGTGCCAGGCACTGGGCTTGGCAACAGAGGCAAAAAGATAAGCAGGGGGTTCTCACTCTCAAGACATTTGTAGTCCAATCCTCTGGATCAATGAGCTATTTTCTGAACAAAGATCTAATATTTCATTATATTGCTGTAAATCTCCTGTTGGAAGGGAAGCTTGCAAAATCTACTGAGTGCCACTCGGAGTAGAATACATGCCTGGTGGGTAAATGGAAGGACTTGTTTTCACCTATGAAAGCAACGGCTGTTTTTTGGCCGACAGTACTGTGCAGGCACTGTTGGAAACGCTCGGGAGATACAAACAAGACGAGCACAGCCTTTACCACGAAACTTGCCTTCTAGCAGGGACCACGGGTAAAGACGTAGCATAAACTTCCACACTTGTTATCAGAAAAGTGAAAGGACAAGGGTGACCTAGAGCTTGAATTCACTGACTTCATACCTTAAACATTCATCTGGCCCACTTGTTTTTCATATTGGACTACGATGACCCAAAGGCAAAGACAGAGCTCCTACAAATGTTCACGTGTACCTTCATAATATGTGGAAATGGCTTTAAAATCAAACAGAAAATTGTTTTTTACAATATTGTTCTTCTAAATTCTGTGTTAAGAAGACTATGCAAAAATATTCTTACACTATTCACACAGTATGGTGATTTTTATTATTATTTTTTAATGTTTTTGTTTGTTTATTGAGAGACAGAGAGTGAGCAGGGGAGGGGCAGAGAGAGAGGGAGACACAGAATCCGAAGCAGGTTCCAGGCTCTGAGCTGTCAGCACAGAGCCCAAGGTGGGGCTTGAACTCACAAACCACGAGATCACGACCTGAGCTGAAGTGGGACACTTAACCGACTGAGCCGCCCAGGCGTCCCCCGCCTCCCCCAGGGCAGTGATTTTAAATTTCATGCTTGTAAGTGATTAAGTTTCTTAGCAATAGTTTCTCTGATGTTTACTCTTGACCGACAACTAGCAAAATATACGGATTCTTAATGTCCCCTGAAATTGTGGTATCCTCTCCGTTGGCCTGCTTTGGTAACTAGCGACACCGTTCACTGAGCATGTATCTGGGATCCCACCATGGAAGGCATTTGGAAAACATCTCTATCCTCTCTTTTTCTCAGTTTGGATACCTCCTTTTTCTATTTTAAGATTGTAGTGGTGGGGCCCCTGGGTGGCTCAGTCGGTTTAGCATCTGCCTCCATCTTGGCTCAGGTCATGATCTCGTGGTTCAAAAGATTGAACTCTGTGTTGGGCTGTGTGCTGACAGCACGGAGTCTTCTTGGGATCCTCTCTCTCCCCCTCTCTCTCTCTGCCTTCTTTCGCCTGTGCATGCGTGCATATGCACACATTCTCTCAAAATAAATAAATAAACTTAAAAGAAAAGATCTCAGTGGGACATGTTTTCCCTACTTTCTTTCTTAATATCTTTCTTGGTATTTATTTTTGTTTCTTTCCTGATTTCTATGTCATCTCTCTCTCTCTCTTTCTCATCTGTCTATTTATCAATCATCTATCTGTCATCTATCAGTCCAGAAATAAGCATGTAATCTTTTGTAGCTCACCCTGACAGGTTCCAAATCCACTTGTCCATTGTTAACTCTAACAGTTGGAAAAACCAAGTTCTTACATTCCCAGGCTCCCTTGCCAGGATAGTGGCCATATTGATTAGTTCTGGGCACTGTGCTCTGAGCACAGACTTTCAAAGAGGTCTATGAAATATTTTGTTTACCTCATATAAGGGAAAGACATGTCTGGCATGGCTCCCTCTCCATTCTTTCTGGAAGGCAGAATGGGATGCTGAAAGGATGCATTGTTATTTTGTGACCAGAGGAGGCAGACGTGAGGGAACACCAGGGGAATTTAGGCATGCTGAAACAATGCCAGTTGCTTCCCTTGAGACCCTTGTCATGTCAGAAGAATAAACCAATACCTATTGAGTCAACCTAAATGGTGTTTTCTGTTATTTTTAGTAGAAGCATTCTTAACTGAATATCACATGCATAAATAATGTATTAGAGATGTTGAAAGTTGAGCATTGTGCTGTAAAATGGAATACTTAACCATAAAGGCAACATGCAATTCTCATCTTCAAGAATTTTATAGTGAACATTTTATGTGGTAGGCAAAAAGGAATCAAAAGACTTTCTGATATCCATCCAAGGTCTGAGACCAATTTGTATAGGCTTTCTTTCCCCCTTGGTGTTCATTTTCTCATATGTAAAATAAGGAATTGCATTACTTCTAAGTTTCATTGGAGGCACAATTACTAACTTTATTAAAATAAAACATGTTTTGGGGCACCTGGGTGGCTCAGTCAGTTAGGCATCCGACTTCGGCTCGGGTCACGATCTCACAGTTTGTGAGTTCAAGCCCCGCGTCCGGCTCTGTGCTCACAGCTCAGAGCCTGGAGCCAGCTTCAGATTCTCTCTCTCTCTCTCTCTCTCTCTGCCCCCCACCCCTACTCATGCTCTGTCTCTCTCTGTCTTAAAAATAAATAAAAGGGGCGCCTGGGTGGCGCAGTCGGTTAAGCGTCCGACTTCAGCCAGGTCACGATCTTGTGGTCCGTGAGTTCGAGCCCCGCGTCAGGCTCTGGGCTGATGGCTCGGAGCCTGGAGCCTGTTTCCGATTCTGTGTCTCCCTCTCTCTCTGCCCCTCCCCCGTTCATGCTCTGTCTCTCTCTGTCCCAAAAATAAATAAACGTTGAAAGAAAAAAAATTAAAAATAAATAAATAAATAAATAATTAAAATAAAACATGTTTTGAATCGATGGATTTATAACACTACCTGTTGAATGATATTTTCTTTTTTTATTTAAAAAATTTTTTTCTTTAACGTTTTATTTATTTTTGAGACAGGGAGAGACAGAGCATGAACAGGGGAGGGTCAGAGAGAGGGAGACACAGAATCCGAAACAGGCTCCAGGCTCTGAGCTGTCAGCACAGAGCCCAATGTGGGGCTCGAACTCACAGACTGCGAGGTCATGGCCTGAGCCGAAGTCAGCCGCTTAACCGACTGAGCCACCCAGGCGCCCCTTGAATGGTATTTTCAAATTGGTATTTTCCTTGGATACTGTGGACATGAAAGGAGATATACTTTTACTGTTCATACTTAGCATTCTGTACATTTTACACAGAAAAATGCGGGCTCTGAGTCTGAACGTTTTGCTATGCCATTATCCAGTCTACAAATCTACTTTATTTAGTTACTTACCTACTGAAATTAGCACAAAAATATTTGGAAGCATCTTTCGGGAAGAATTATTTCCTGCACGATTCTATACCACCTCATTAATTTCCCCCCTTTTTGTGAGTACACAATCCAGGCAAAATAATTCCACTAATATGAAGGTATGTCTGGCACACTGCTTTTCTAGAATTCTCATGGCATGATTATGCAATTGTATGAAACAAGCATTAGAAAGTTTCATTGATTGCAAGAAAAATGTTTCCAAATTGCTTTCGGGAGGCCTAAAGCATGACAAATAAAATGTTACCATACCATTTAAAAGAATATATGAGCAATGTGAATTAAAGGTGGGTTGATCATAAACAACACTAATTTCAAGGTCTATTTCAGTTTTCCATTTCATCTTACGATAATATGGGGTTATGAGAGCTGATCGACCATCAGTTGCTCTCAGCAAGATTGTTTTGGCCACAATACGTTGACATTTAACTCTGATTTATAATTTGGTAGGTATTAGAAGCTGAGATGTACAAAGAAGCTGCTATTAGAAACAGGAAAGAGCTAAAACAGAGACCACACAGAAAGCAGAGAACTGATAACAAGCAAAAGGTTTTAAATATAGAAAAGAAAGAAAGAAAGAAAGGAAGAAAGAAAGAAAGAAAGAGAAAGATGTGTTTGTATTTGTGCGTGTGTGTGTGTGTGTGTGTGTGCACATGTGCGCATAGGCAGGCGTATGGAATAATTAGGGAAGGAGAATGAAAATGCATCAGTATAGAGGCTGTGTTCTTTTCATGAGCCGAGGAAACCATTGCCAGATAATTATCACCACCTCTTGTTTTCCAGAGTAATATGCAGCCCATGAACTGGAGAGCCCATCTCGTACTTAAAAATGTGGGGTTCTCGGTTTCTTTGAAGCCACATAGCATCTCTGGGTGGTAGTTGAGTATCAAACAAACAGAGATGCCTTTTCTCACAGGCTGGAAGCAGTCATCCCTGTTGCCAAGGAAACATCCTCAGGCGGCAAGGGTCACCTTTGGGGACAATTGGAAGACTTCAAAAGCAGATCAATAACAGAGAAACGCCAAGACCTGAACTTCCTCTCTAATGTTGTCTCTTATTTTAAATGTCATTTTCAACCAACACTTGCTTATGTGATTACCATGTACTGAGAAGTCGGAAGGCAACACTGAATGCGTAATAAGTCCAGCCCAGTATTTCTGAGCTGTGCTCTTGGAAGCCTGGGGTCTGGGTAGAGATGTTTTCAGAGCGGGCGGGGGAGGGAGGGGGAGGAACCCACAGGATCAGCAGCCTATGTGATGAACTTAACTGACTTTCAAGTTGAAAGACAGGAGCTGCAAGTTACACTTTATTTGAAGCAAAGGTTCAGCTCAGTGACAAAACAGATTTGAGATTTTTTACTCAGATTCTTAGTGAGATTCTTTACTCAGACAAGCACCCTGGATTACACTTTGTCTACATTGGTGACATTTTAATTTTAGTTTCTGAAAATATTTTGTCACGTATTTGGCTTGCGCAGTTTTTGTGTCAATAATTTACAATCTCAATTATTCACTCATTCATCCGTTTGTTCTTTTACCAAATATTTATGATTTTACACCAAGGGCCAGGGGCTACTCTGGAGATGAGAACTGAAGAGAACACAGTCCCTACGTTGAAGGCTTCGGGGATTCAATCGGGTGAAGAAGGCAGACGTAGCAACAATGGGATCCCTTGCAGAGGGAACAGAGAGGGATCCTTGTGATTTCTCCCGGGAACGTGAGGAAAAGCTTTTAAAATAAAACGCTTTATTTTTGCCTTGGAGGATGGATAAACGTTGAGCTGGGAGCCCAGCGCTGGAAGGACATTCTAAGACAGAGACAACAGCAAACGCAGAGGGCAGAGATGTGAGGAGTTCTGTCCATCTGCCATCAACGGAAGTTCAAAGAGGAAAATGGGCCGGATCACAAAAAAATCCTTATATGATATAAAAAAAAAAAAAGTTTATGCTTTAACGTTAGTTTTCCAGATTTTTCCTTTCTAACTTTAGGTATAGCTACTGGGATTGCTTAACCCTATCATAAATGGAGCTTTAAGTAGCTTGGTATGATTTTCTGGAAGGCTTCAGGCATTGGAAACTTTCGTGACTGTTTGTTATCTAAAGCAAGAATTGTGAAATCTAGGGATAAACTCTCTTGCTATTGGCGCTCACAATAATATTAGATTTATTAAAATACAAATCATGGAGTTTTATAATAGGAGTTAGGATGCCCTCCACTTTCAAAGTGGCTGGTAGAATTAAGCTGTAGCAGTAGCAGTCATTTCAGTGACAGTCATTTCAGTAGCAGTCATTTCTTAAAATCGCATATCTTTCTTCTTGTCACAAGATTCAAAAGTGACAAACGCAGAGGGCTCTTTTGCCTACGAACGTGTCATGTTTCCCACTGAAATGGACCTCATTAAGTCTTCCTTTATGAGGGACAAGAATGAAACTTTGTGTATAAGAAAATTTGGAGGGTGGGTATGTTTGAGAGCTAAAGCTTTTTGGCATCATTTAGGTTAGCCACCTGTTCTAGCCTGCATTTGCTGAATAAATTAGATGCTCTGGGGAGAGAGTATGCAGCTGATTGGACCGCCTTGTTACCAAGGCAACCATTTTTCTCTCTGCTCCATGACTCGGAAAGGGTTCATAACCCATTACTGCTCCTCTGAGCAGGAACAAGAGAACATTTCTTTTTTTCTTCTCTTGCCTTTCTACCTTTCTTCCATTTCATTTATAAATTTCGGGTCAAGATGTTGGGATTAGTGGAATCGAACAGATACTCTTGCTGTATTGTTTATTCCGACACCACATTTTCCAGATGTTTGAACACCTTAGGTCCCAACGGAAAGGCGCAGAAATAACAGCTAAAAGGAGGGCAGCTAATGCTAAGCAGTTTCAAACAAATTGAAAATAATACTTTCAGTCTCTAGAGGAGCTTGTCTAAGGTGATATATGTGAAAACAAACTCCGAATTTAGTCCAAAGGACGGTGGATGAAAGGCTATTTCCCCCAAATTATTCCAGCTCTTATTTCCATCAGGGTTTTCTTACTTTGTAGAGGTGATGACACATGAAAGAGCGATAATTCAGCAAGGTTTTGTCAGACTCATCAAACCATAAATTCCAGGAACTCAGTGATCATTTTCTCAACGCCAAAGGGCTGAGAGGACTGTTGCGGGGGGGGGGGGGGGCGGGGGGGGGTGGGGGGGTGGCGGATGGCTGACCCCAAACCAGGGCAACGCCCTCAGAAACGAACACAGGGTTTCACCCACATGTCACATGTTGACCTCAGCATATTGGTTTTCTTCTATTTTGTAATTCATATTTGTCTTTCCTCTCCAACTCTGTGTGCTGTGTTTTTATATTCTAAACCTTCATGCATTAAAAAACCAAACAAAAACA